TCTGCATGTACAATCATCTCCGACAGAAAGAGATAGAGGAGGGGCAGAATGTGTTGAACCGTGGCTTTCATATTCCACAGCATTGCAGCTGCGTTTCGCCCATTTATGTGTATATTCAGAGAAAATTAGTAACTTTGGTTCAATGCAGCCCTCTAAAACTGGCTGTAGTAGTCAAGGTGTAGTGAACCCATCCTTTAAGGGGTAGAAGAAAACAGTATTATACTATACTTTATCTTTGTTGTGTTTTGGTCATGTCCAGTAATCCGGAAATGCTGTAACTTTTAGAAAAAGGGGCATAAACTTGAAAACTCCATCTAAATCCCATCTAAAACGTTGACGATTTGTCTAAATCATTCCCAATCTCCGCCGCTTCACAACAGCGCCGGCTGGTTGAGCGTTGCGGTGGCAATAGTGGGTCAGATCTGATGCATGGGCTCTGTTTGTGGAAGCTACAGCGTCCACTTGAAGAACCTCAACACAGACCATTAATCTTGTGTGAGAAAAAGACTCCGCACGGACTCGGAAGGGGATGCTGGAGGCGCACACACAAACACGGTCTGGTATTTCTTTTCCTTTTCAAACACACCATCCCACACCCCTGCTGAGAGCCTGATCCCCTTCTCCTGCTGGCACATAACAGCGGGCACTACATCACTGTCAGGATCCAGACCACCAGGGAAAAGCTCCGGGCCACTCTCTGAGCTCCGAGCGCCCCGTTCGCTGAATTATGGCCAAGCTTGAGAAGCATATTGTGGCGAGGAGACACTTCAATTTGTTGGCCTTTTCAGAAATTGGACAGGTATAAATGGCCCGAGAGCCCCCTCGGAAATCAGTCACTCTTGTATGTTTTAACACCGCAAAGGCCCAAGGGGGCTGCGGAGCACAGTGCCAAACACAGACCCATCATATGTTGTCTCCATTCCCAGCACCAGAGATTAGCGTTCACATATATTTCATGTTGTCTCCTCGAGAAGTTAAAAACAAACAGAGCCAACGGGTCTTTAGGGCTACGCTTTATTCTAAAGCTTTTTTCTTCTTAAGAGCTACTCGTCTGAATTAGCAGCGAACCCTTTCATACCATCCAGTTTCCAGAAATGTTGGGATTGTGAATCAATTGTAAAATGAAACAGAATTAGTTGGTTTGCAAAAACACATAAATCAGTGTTTCATGCTTAACGGAACGTGGAAGACATTAAATGTTGAACGTGAGCCATTTCACTCCATTGTAAGAAGGAACACAGGCTCGTGTTGAATGTGAGGACGGTGTATCCAGTAAGTAGGGACGGGCCCGGCATCGCCTTGGCATTGTTTAATGGTCCACATTGAAACCAGTAGCCATCGAACGGAGTTAGAATTTACGGCCCAGTGAGCTGTGTTCATAGACGATCATTTCTGAAAGCGTGTCTGAAAACACGAACGGCTGATTTATTGGACAGAACCCTGTTTGTTTTCTGAAACAGTAAACCCCCGAGGCCCTGGAGATCAGACGTATCTAATGCAGATTGTCTGCTGTGTCCCTGCATACGGGGAAGATTCCGGATTGTTAGAATCCACTGGTGATACATAAAGTACTGTTGATATAGATCGATAACAGATTATTCAACGTTTCTGGAGCTTTTGCTTTAGGGAGCGTTACTCGGCCCTGTGATGGACAGTTTGTCCAGTCTGTACACCATGCCACTTGTCCTGTTACAGCCTAAACTGGAATAAGTGGGAATAATTTTAAAAAACTTCAAAAAAGGTTCCATTGATTCATGGAACATTATTCGGAAATCTCAGTTTTTATTTTGTAATAAAACCTTAACTTCTTTATCCATCTGAGAGACTTCATCTCTCTATGGTGCCCTTTTCTGGCCTGTCGTAAATTAACTTAATCAGTAAAATCAACCCTGCTTCATTCAGGAATGGATTTTTTTTATTAATTCCAAATATTTGTTTAGGATTGGAGAAGTTGAATGATAATGGCAATCTGACAGGAATATTGTTATAGCCGTGCCTGATTAGGATTAGACACATACTATAGTTAAAGATTTATAACAATATTTGTTTTTTTTCCAAAGAAATCCGAAGGTGTTGAAATTATCAATGACAAACAAAAAGAGCCATTGTCTGTTTCTCTGTCATCTCTAGTCAAAGTCGAAGAGCCACATTAAGTCACTGATCCAGCTGTTTCTTATTGGCACAACCTCCATTTTGAGCCCTTTTCCCAACTTTCTTTTGGTTGTGTTGCTGCCATTAAATTCAGCATTTTGCTCATTAAACAGTACACTGTCACTTGTTAACTTTTTTCCCCATTTTTCTGTTTCTTTCCGTTTGAAAATCGCTGCATTCTTATGATTTTTCATTGCATACAACATTTTTGGGGATCGGATTTGTGAAAGTTCATTCAAAAGGGACATTTAAAGGGTTTGTGGACTTTTTTTGGGAGTGGCAGTTCGCAAACCTGAATTCTTTGCGGAATGGGGTCTATGACATCAAAGTGCATCAGGCATCAACAAGGTCTGGGAAAGGAGGAAGAGCTTTCTTCACACCACAGGGAGCCCCCCCTCAGAGCTTTCCACTTACAACGGTCACTGCTGGTTACCACAACAAGCGGCACCGTGTCAACGACGGCCATCAGACAGCGAGTTTGATCTAAGATCCTCCATTGGGGGCAGGAGGAGGTGTGGAACGACACTTTCTCTTGTGTGTTTTTTTTCGCACTCGGGTGTGCAAACACATATTTAAGCTGTAAAGAGAGGTACCCGGAGGTTATGAGAACCTATGAGACATCTAAAAAGTCCAATCTCACACCGAATCAAGAACAGAAATTTCACTGCATGCTACTGGGCGCGCTCAGAAAGTGTCTGAAGCCCTTCAGGAGCTGGGGAATAAAATGTTATGGACAGATGAAAAAAGTAAAGAGGCGACTGAGCAGAAAATGAAAGAAAATGTTGTTAGTGTGCAATGAATCACTCTACATTGACTGTTTGTCGTTCAACTTATTTCTTTTCTGTCCAGAACTTACAAAACCGGTCGTTTGTTTAAAGCTCAAGCGGGGAAAAAAAAAAGGAATGGTGCGTCAAAAATTGCTGCATTTTTGGGCTGATATTTGTCGAAGCTTTCATTTTATTGGCCCAACGTCCTTATCCCAGTTTTGAGACTGTTACTTCTGCTTGGGGGGGCGCGTTAGCCAAATTCACTTTTTTAAATGTACAATTAGAGGAGGAAAAGTTCCCCTAACTTACTGCACTTTGATCAGACTGGACCTGAATCTACCGTTCACAAATGCATACAGACGCTGAATTTATATATATATATATTATTTATCAAAACTAGATAATTTCTAGTCATGCCAACATGACAAATGATGTTTAGATGTATGAAAAAAATGATAAATGTATTACAATCATTTTTTTTTCAGGTCCAATCAAGTTCTATTAAGTTTATTAAAGAATCACTGTTTTATCATTTGCTGTTATTTGCAAATCCCCCCAAAAAAACCTCTGGTTTGGGCTGCTCACGCACGAGGATAACACCTCTTTTGTTTCACGTTGGTTTTAAACTCAGTAGGACTGCACGTTACAATTGATCACATTCTGAGGATTCACGTTGTGTGACTGCCGTGCACACAGAGCTCAGAACAGGACCGGCCACTCAGATCTGCCCCCGTCACCCCAGAGAGAGGAATCCTGTCCAGGGGAGGGGGCTTGGAGGAAAGAGGGAGTTGTAAATTACTTGAGTCCTCTGAACTCACTTTGAGTGGGGAGCAGCTCTGAACTTGTAGTACATAGTTAGAAACCTGTGAGGTTGACACCCACCAACCACCCCCCCCCCAAACACCCAAGTAGGGTGGATTTAGGTCAAGCACCACAGTGACCTCAGACTGTGAAGAAAAAGAAAGAGAAAAAAGGCAAATACAATTGCAGTGTGCTTCTCCAAAAAGAAAAAAAAGAGCGGACTACATCAGACATTGCATCTCTTCATTGCTCATGTAACAAAAGAAAGAATGACAAGTTGTATTTTTTTCCTCAAAAACACAAGCGTAGACCTCCCTACTACAGACAGAGAGGGTGATTAAAACTACCAAATAACACCATGTGCTATTAACAGGGATTTACAGTAGAAAATCCCACTTCATCTGTCATCAATCCATCCGGCTCTGCTCTTAATACCATCTCGCCCTAGTCTTCATTTAAACAGCTGTATCCTACGTCCATCTGTCTGTGCTTTGTGCTTGGACCAGAAGCTGGTCCCGACACTTCAGCCGTTTCAAAAGGGCTCCTATCTATCAGCCCTATTTCAGATACTGCTCTCTTTCTTTTTTTTTTTTTTTACCTCAGTAAAATGAAGACCAGGGAATCTCCTTTTTCTTTGTGTGTCTCCCTCTCCTCCTCTGACTCCATTTGTTTTGTGAAGCCCCCTTTTGACATGAGCAGAGTTCATTACGCTAGCTCTTTAAAGAGACCGTCCAGCTTCCCTGGGAGCTTCATCCCCACACAATAAATTCACATAGTACTTGCACAACCCTTTAAACTTGTGAGCACGAATCACTTCTCATTCATAGCTTCTGCCTGTTTGCCGGGCTCCCTGTTAGATTTTCCTTGTCAGGTTTTACTTTTTTTTCTCCGCTTTTCTTCCTTTCCAAACGCCGTAATTCAATTCTGCCTTAATCTCTTCTCGGAGTCCTGCAGTGAGCAGAGTGAGCTTTAATATACAGTATTTTTCTTCATTTTTCTACTTAATCTTTGTCCTTTAAGTGAAGAGATTCAACTATTGATAGCGCTGGGGTCGTACTTTGAAGAAAATTAATAAATAAATCAAACGAAATGGTTCAGAAGGGGTAAAAATAGATCAAAATGTCCCTGCCGGCCCATTCAAAAGCAATCAAATCTCGATCACGTTACGTTTTAAGAGAACGGGTCAGTGGCGTTTTATTGTGGGGACGGGGGCAGGCCTAATGAAAGGGACAATGCAAAGATTAGCAGTGCCAGCCAGGCGGCTCAAACTTCACCCTGCCTTTAATTGCCGCAAACAAGAGGAGAAGCAGAGGCAGGGCAAACGGGGGACAAAAGAGCAGGGCAGCCACGGGAGCAGGATGTGAGGGGAGGTATGGCGGCGAAATGATAGATGCACGTATGGTTTTTATGGCACTGTGTGGTGTCCACCTGGTTCTGGCTGGTGTGGGATGTGTCAAGGAATGTGTGAGTTCTGCCGGGTCCAGACAACTCCTAAACCACAAATGAAAGTGGAGGATTTCGTAATTACAGAGTCTCCGCGGTCTATGGGGAAAACATATATGTCTTTTTAATGGGAAGAGTTGGTGTAAATCAGGGAAATTATAGCCGAGGAAGTTCTGTCAAATGTGGAGGAGGCATTATAAGATCATAAATTATCTGAAGAAGAGTGTGATTTAAGAAGACCGGGCACGACTCTCTTCTGTTTCAAGTTCGAGATAAGACCTCTCCGGTTTGTTTCAGTTTGCAAAAAAAGAGTGAAAGCACTGGAAGGAGATGGTGTAAAGCTATTATACTTTGTTGAAGCTGAAAAAAAAAACTTCCCTGAAGCTTACATAATAATAAAAGAAACATTGTTTTCTGAACTCCTAAATTAAGAGAAAAGTTCACAGTTTTTATTGCAATATATGTAACACGTCAGAGACAAAACAGGTCATTGTTCCACGCTACAATGCAGCATTCTGGGACATAGCTAGCACGATTTGAGTAATAAAACAAAACAAAAATTATGTGGATTAAACCCTCTTCCTCAATAGTGTGTGTAGTATATACCACTGGGTTCAAGTCTTAAAAAAAAGGGAATTTGTAAGCTAAGAAAAACTGGATGCAGAGTGGCTTTGAATAAATCTTAGCATAGTTATGCAAACAGTTAGAATTGGCTTATATTCAATAACTTTAGAGGTTTACTTTATTAATAAAATTCATGTAAATTACTAACTTATGTGCACATTTTAAGAATGATACACTGAGCTCATGTTATGACAGACATTAAGGTATCACAGGTCAAAGCAACTAGACCAATAGATCAATCGCGATAGTCCTTTTAAATGATTGGCATGTCACTTGCAAACTTTAGGGGGAACGTCCCCAAAGTAAATGTAGAAGAACCGAACATTGTGTGCTGTACAAACGGCAATTGAACTATTTTTTAAATACGTTTGCAACAGCTATTCTTCTTCCTTTTCTCTTTTCTGTTTACCATGTAAAGTTCACCCATACAATCATAGAGGTCAGACATTTTTGTCCCACTATATCAGCAGAAACCAGACTTTAAGGACACAGTGACACTAAGCTTGTGGACCTCATCCCATAAACTTCATAGAACTATATTAGAAAAAGAGAAAATCAGTCCACGAGTCAACTTAAGCAAACACAGACGAAAGCTCTGTTTTTGGCAGAGGTTTTTGTTTTGTTTGCTGACACTTACCAGTCCCGAACACGTGGACACGGCCACCGAGGAGGCTGACAGGTTGCGGACAAATCCCTGATACAGGCAGTTGCGAAACCCCTCGTGGTCGTCGTCGGTGGCGAGGACGGAGATGCCTCCCGGGCCCAGCGCCTGCACGGTGAACCCGGGCCCCACCACGGCCGACGGCCGCAGGTCCAGGTGCATGTCGTGGCCGAAGGCGGAGAGCCGGTAGTGCAGGGAAGAGGACAGGGACCTCCTGCTGCGATGGCCTCGCCTGCTCACGTCGTGGGACAGGTACCCGCCATCTGAATCCACCTCCACCGGGGTCACGAACACGTAGTCTGAGGAGAAAAAACAGCGGAAACAGGTGAAATACCTTTTGCGGGACTCTGGCAGACTGCCTCTACGTGCTTCCAACCTCTTCCAGGAGATTTTTTTTAAGGGGGGGGCCAAAGAGGACTGCGATAATTTGCATTTAGCCCGCAGTTAAATGCGTCAGTGGAGACATATAAGTAACGCAGACAGACTTTCATTGTTTCCTCTTTCTTTGAGGGCCTTTAAACACTCGAGCTGTGTAAATCTTGGAGTATTGCGGGGAGTAAATCAGTTCAATGTAAATCATCTTCTGCAAGACAAAGCAGCCAAGGGGGAATCCTCCAACGAGCACAGGGCTCCCCCTTGTAAAGCTTCCAAGGTGGCTGCAGCCATATAAAATCACATGAAGGTTTTTTGGACGTTTCTACCAAACAAAACAGCAGGCACGTGACTCTGTCCCACAAAATCCGGCTTGTTTTACAAAAGCACTTTCTCTCCGGGGACCGTCTAAGCCACCGACCGATCCACTGACCGAAGGCATCTCTGCCATGAAAGTCATCCCATTCCCCATCCTGTCTACAAACAGGGAAAAAGGTGGAGGGATGCCAGCTGGAATCAACCCCCCACTCCCCCCCCCCCACACTAGATGTCAAAAGGGGAGCACTCACCATGATTTAATCCGTGGCTGTTGCTGAATGAATCGCCGGCCAAAACAGAGTGGGAGGTGTGTGTGCAGAAGATGTGCAGAGTCTGCAAAAAAAAAAGAGAAGGAAAGAGAAGAAGAAGAGGGGGGAAAAAAAGAAAGAAAAGCTTATACAGCGGACAGGTAGCAACAGGTTACAAAGCGGGATGCCAACAAGTGGTGATAAATTGAGTTCCTCTGTTGAAACATGAGCTGCACTTTGGTTTAATTTGGCATCACTTTTCAGCACAATGAGAGCAACAGCAGTTAGTGCACTGGAGACAAATGCACGTGGAAGGAAGAAAAGAAAAAAAAAAGTGTAAACATTTTTTTTTTCTGAAGCGCAAACATGCCTTGATGATATTCCAGGACAGGAGGGTGGAGAGCAGCCTGACGGAGGTGCAGCCGACCGGCGGGATGGGTAAAGTCCACATCAGAAGAAAAAGGCAATCCATGGTCGGTTAGGCGTGAAAAACTCACACCTCCCTCGTTACCTCCTCAGAGAGCGCGAAAAGTGGCGTTAACCTGCGACGGCGCATAATGCAATTGGCTTGCATTATTTTTGTTTTTTTTTTGTTGTTTTTTTGTTTTTTTCGGTCGTCGCCAGTTCTGCTCAGGTGAAGTCAGCCGGTGGCAGCGCGCCGCGAACGCAACGCGCACTCATGAGTGTGTCTCTGTGAGTGAGCGAGTGTGTGTGTGTGTGAGAGAGTGTGTGTGAGCGTAGGGGTGTGTGTTAGAGAGGAGAGCGGAGGCTAATGGTGTCGGGGAGCACCGCTTCGGAGCGCTGACTGAGCACTCCGGGTCTCCGCGAGAGGCGGCGCGCGGGGATGGAGCGCGAGTCAAACTGCCCGGCAGCCAATCAGCTCTCAGCATCATTTACCACGCGCAGATAAAACAGAGAGGCGAGAGATTCTCCTCCTGGCAGCGGGAGCGCCGGTGCTGCCTTCAGAGGCCGAACGGAAATTTCGGCTGTGACTGTGCAATGAGCAGATTAAGGGGCTTTGTCGCAATTTTCTAGATGCTTTCCAACAGTGTTGCTGCTTTCCATATGATTTTTGTTTAAATAAGAAGAATTAATCAATGTGTGACTAAATACAGAAGAAACACATGAGCCAAACTGATAGTTCAGGGTCTCTATCAGGTTAGTCACAGACACAAATGGCCACTTTTGCCAGCGTTAAATTAAGAATTGCCCATAAGGAATTAATCTATCAGGCATTGTTGTTGTTTTTTTGGCTTCATTGTTTCTTTGTTTCTTTGTTTTTATTGTGGGAGGAAGACTGATACTGGTAAAGCAGACACTGTCCCCTCATATATGCCACAGGTGTGCTTGGAATCAGGGACTTTGCTGAATATCTAGGCATGCACCACTGAAAGTTGAGGCTGGTTTGCTGGAAAGAACAGTCCACCAACTCATTAAAGCTCGAATTAAATACGTCGTTTTGTTTAGTTTTTTTGTCCTGGTTGTGGAACGCTTAGAGATGGTCTTTAATAGGGAAGTATACATGAATGATTGTCCCTTGTTCCCCCTGCGACCCCATTAGGGAATAAGCGGTAACAATAATGGATGGATGGATGTTCCTTGTTCCTGACCATTTGGTCCCTGTGCACCCAAAGCTGAGATTTTGGTTCACATCGCTAGTAGTCAGACTTTTCTGGTGTGTACTGGACTCCACCAGGGTTGCCATTTGAAACTCATTCTCTGTGTTGATTTAATGGACAGAAACAAAACTCGGAGGGGGAATTCCAGTGAGAAAAAATAAATCCAGGGAAACTCTCCCTTTGCTTTTGGCACACAATGTTGTCCAGTTGCTTTTTATCCAACCCTCCAGCAGGCACCAGCTGAGCGTGAAGCAGCGCCCAAAAATCTGAGGTTATTTAATTTCTCACATTACTCACAGCAGGCTGCCAGATTGACACAGTAGCAGCATTAACCAAGCATGTATGCAAGAAAATTGATATACAAAACACTGAAAGATGTTCCGAATTAATGCAGGACAGGTGACGTGGCCATTACAAACATGCATGTGAACAGCAAATATATTAACCGGGGGGATTAAGGGGGTAGAAGGAAGCAGGAAATTGATTAGTGTTGGATTGTCTTAACAGCAACATGGATATTGTAGTGAAGAGAAGACCTGAATTTGCAGGGGAAGCTGTTAATATCTGTTCCAGGCCTTAGCATTTGTCATAAGATGCAGATATTTCAAATAATGAGCACAAACTTGTCAAATACAGGCCATGAGGGTGAACTTTATTAAGCCGGTGGCTGGACTTACCTCTTGGGGATGACTTTTGGAACTCAGTCGCCCAGACAGGGCTACTCCTCAACCCTGAATGCAGCCAGTTGAGGTTATTCAGGCATCTTGTCAGCACGTCTTTGGGATGTTCCCAGTGCAAGGTGTTTCAGACATTTTCCACCAGGAGGAGGGCTGGGGTAATAAAAGCTTTCGGCCGGCTCTGCTTTGCCTTGTGTCCTTTCAGAGGAGCTGGGAGAAGAGAAAAAGGTATGGCAGTAAAAGAAAAAACAACCTCATCATCAAATGTGACAGGTTGAAGTTGCAGGTTGAACACACTTTGCTTGGCTGTATTGTTAGCATGAGTGTTGGTTAAATGTTGCGAACAGTTGAATCCGTTCAGGGGACTGAGAAACACCTTGGGACTGTGGCTGAAGTGTTCAGCCTCCCTGCGCTGACTTTCACATTTCATTGAGCAGCAGAGCTTGTCACCACTCTTTTCTGACCTGTACGTCCCTTATTCAGAACACATTAACCGACATGGGATTTGTTTTTTCATATATTCCTCATTCTTCATACCTTATATATTACAACAGGGATGCCTTCGTAGAGCTTTGTTGAAATCAGGTCATCAAGAGGTATGTTTATATTACGATGAACGTGAATTATTCTCAAAATAGAAAAAACAAAATCTAACAAAAGCCTGACACGGGATCTGACAGATATGCCAGGTCCTTCAGTTGATCTATCTATTGTTCCGTGGAGCCTCGTGAGTAATGGTCTTCGTCGAAAGGTGGTGACCAGAAAGCCAGTCATACAAAGTGGAAACGGGGGGAAAGACTGATGCCAGATGACACAAATACTGAGCTGAGTCGTGGTGGAAACAGGCCTTATGGAGTGATGAATCATCCCCAGAGCACACCCCTCAACAAAACTGAGGCAGCTTTGACAGAGGACAGGAAAAAAAAAAGCTAGCCAAAATTCAAACAGAGCTTTGGAACGCTCATCGAGAAGCCTAAGAGGTATTCCTGAAGAAAAATTGGAGAGGTGACACGAACACTTGTCAGAGAGGGGTTCAGCATTCACTTTCAAACTTGTTAGATTTGTATTCCCTCTATTTTCTTCATATTTTTTCATTTTTGCTTTATATGTAATATTATCATTTATGGTCGAACATGTTTCACTGAGTAGTCACATCTCTTCCTTCTAAAAAAATAAAGAAATGAAAACAATCCGCAGCATCTCACTGGCTTATTTCGGTGTCTGCTTGTCATGTTGATCCAAGACGTAATTAAAGTGTCAGTGATTTGGGGTTTGTTGGAAAACTTCCTTCTTTAGTGTGCACATCAGAGGGTGAGAACACTGTCATCAACCCGGCATCATGTGAAGTTAAACACGGCTGAGATTCTTGTGGAAACCTGCTCAGTTTCACCGTTTGATATTCCTGTGGTCCACCTGGTTAATCCTATGATGCCAAACTCTTTGTTTTCTACAACAGGAGAGCGGAAGATCGCTAAAAGTCAGAGGCATTTTAAAGTGTAACCGATACGGTTCATGCTCTTTATACCCCTTTTTGTCCACTAAATCCACAATTCGTTTGTTCCTTTGTGCACAAGTGCCTCAGACGGCGGTGGCTGCAGATGTTTGTATATCCGAAATCTGAATAGTGTTAAAACTTGGCACACCACGGCTCACTGCGCCATGCCACCGCGGTGACAGACAATGTGTTTATTTACGGGACACTAAACCAACTCCCCAAAGTTCTCTGCAGCCTCTTCCTTTTCTTATGATGTCTGTGCCCCACTTAGGCTGCAGTTACCAGGGCCCAGTCGGTCCAGTCTGATCTTTGTTATCCAAAACAACAACATATAGAATTGCAGCAGGAAATATAAGTAGTTGGGGGTTTTTTTATGGAAAAAGATTGTAGGTTTTAGAGACCACACTGAGATGAAATCTATGTCCCAAGTCTTCGGTTCCAGAAACAAGAGAAAGGAACCCTATGATAAGTTGATTGCATTTCAGAGGAGGTGTTTAATGTAGGTACACGTCAAAATAGGAATGGTCTTAAAAGTATTTGCTCAAACAGTCTTTGAAACTGACGGTGAATGTGTGATCCCTGTAAAAATGCAGCTTTGTTCGATTTACCTTCATCGAGGCTACAACTTTTTTCTCACTTATCCTATTAAATCTGGATTACATAGTGCACAAAATGTCTTTTCTTGAGAGTCAGCACAAAAATAATGTCAACAGACGGTGTTCATCATTGAGTTGAAACATTGATTTATTAAAAACAAAGTTTGCGCTCACTATTACCCCTATCAGTCATGTCAGACGACAACAATAAGTTGGGTCAAAGCTTTTGGCCGTTTAATGATGGTAAACATACATCCAGACACCCGAAAATTTCAAAGAGCATCAATTCTAACAATAACACTTGTGTATCTGTAGCCTACGTCAATGATTCTAAATCATCCATGCTTTGGTTCTATAATTTAGGTTCTACTGCAGATCAAAACAAAATAAATGACATGTCTCATTTGATGGAGCAAGCACAACTTAACTTAACATTTTTGTGTGTGTGTGTGAGGGGGAGAGAGAGAGAAATAATGACTTTGCTTTACTATGATTATGGTTTTGAACAGCTTTCTAGGGTCTTTAGTGTTAGCCCTCGTACACTTATGTTGTTTTTCCTGACATTTAAAGCACGTGTTCATTGTTAACAGACAAGATCAGAAGCGTAAATGTGCATCAATGTTTCAAAGGTAAACCTCAAATATGAATAAGACAGAATCAAAGGTAGAAGGGTAATGCGTGTCAGTGTCTGATCGCGTGTAATTTTAAGCATTATTGGGGCACGTCACACTACACTGTAACACTGGTGTTCAATGATCAAAAAAGATGAGGACAACTCTCACATGGGTCAAATTTCTGTTTGTTCTAGCTGTATTTCATTTTCAGATTAAAAATAAAAAAGGATCCTTTGTCCGTTGATATTTCAGCAGGCTCTGATGCCAACATGAAGAATTTTGGGATCTATGCATAGGACATCCAGCAAGGATCAGAACCCGAATGCATCATGAAAAACTCCAGCAACCCTTCAAATGTCTGATTCAAAGCACTCAAAACTAAAAACAAAAGAGCCCACCAAACGGCGATGTCACCGAGCCTGATCCGAAGCAAAACAACTGGGATCAAATCAATTTACAACAATTCATCTGGCAGCATTTAAAAGCAGGCTGTTGTTCAGATTCAACTGTTTCTTTAGTCCAAGAACATCCAGCTTGGAAAGCGTTAATTGAGAC